AGGGGAAAAATTTAACCTAGCACTCAGTGCCGGAGCTGATGGTCTGCCTGCTATAGTTACCGGAAACAAATCATAATTTTACATATCGGTTATGCCCTGTTAGCATATGCGACAACTTTGATGATTTGGGACCGTTATTCTGAGGAGTGTTCCCTGCAGTATGCGGTATATTCGCCCGAAAGAAGTCCGCAATTTACATGTGATTAAGGCACTGTTAGGGTATTTTCATAGCCTCGATAATTTGGGACCGTTATTCGGAGGATAGCCCTACAATTAAATGTACAAATTAAAATTCTGCAATATTGGAAGCACGTGACATTATGAAAAACAACTGAACACATAAACAGTGGAGCAAGGCCCTCACAAGAATATACACAATCTTACATGGATATCCCCAAACAGAAGAGATGTAAACCAGATCGACCATTTCATGGTAAACAGAAAATGGTGTGGGTCCCTACTCGATGTGCGTGTCAAAAGGGGAGCAGATGTGGGAAGCGATCATCACCTTGTAATCGCTCTACTACGACTTAAACTCAAAAAAGTTTACACGCAAGTTAAGACACAGACAGCACGTTACAATGTTAACCTTTTAAGAGAAAAAGACATTGCCACTAAATTTATAGTAGAAATCAAGAATAGATTTCAAACCCTATCAAGTGACCCAGAAACTCCAACTACAATCAGCATTCAAGACAGATGGAACCAGATCAAAGGAACATACAAATCAACTAGCAATAACATATTAGGAACCAGGAAACCACACCACAAAGAATGGATAAGCAGTCAAACCATGGACTATATATATTGCCAAGCGAAAAAGAATAAAGAGCCTCATAAATCACACTAAATCAGAACGTCAGAAAGACAAACTAATGTTAGACTATAGCGAACTAAATAAAATGACCAAGAAAAGTGCCAGAGCTGACAAGAGAAGATTTATGGAAAATCTTGCAGAAACAGCAGAAAATGCTGCTAAAGCACATGATCTACAAACCCTACACAAAATTACCCAGAAAATTTGCGGAAACAGAAACAATTATCACAGCATACCCATCAGAGATAACCAAGGCAGACTGCTCAACACAGAACAAAAACAAGACATGCAGTGGACTAAACACTTCTCTGACCTCTTGAACAGATCTGATCCTGAAAATCCCAAGATATTCAACCAGCCTCTCAGGACATTGACATTATTACTGAACCACCAAGCAAACAAGAAATCCTTAAAGCTATCCACACTTTAAAGAACAACAAAGCACCAGGCAAAGACGAACTGCCAGCAGAACTTCTCAAAGTAGATCCCAACACAACTGATAGCATTCTAGAACCATTGTTCAGGGATATTTGGGAAAAAGAAGTGTTGCCTGATGACTGGACTGAAGGAACAATAGTCAAAATCCCCAAAAAAGGAGACTTAACAGACTGCAATAATTAGAGGGGAATTACTCTACTCTCAGTACCAAGCAAAATATTTTGTAAAATCATCATAATGCGACTTGAAAAAGGAGTAGATAAATGCCTACGAGTGGAACAAGCAGGATTCAGAAAGGGCAGAGGAACAACTGAGCACATCTTCGCCATACTAACATTTTAGAACAATGCAACGAATGGCAGAGAATCATATTTTTTATTTTGTGGACTTTGAGAAAGCGTTTGACAGCGTCAATAGAGACGGTCTGTGGAAAATTTGACGACATTATGGAATTCCAGAAAAAATAGTCAACATAATTGCTCTCTTCTATAAAGACTCTTCGTGCAGTATAAAAAATTACAATACATCTTTCCCAGTAAAGACAGGTGTAAGACAGGGATGTGTTATGTCATCTCTCCTCTTCAACCTTGTGATTGATTAATACTAAAGAACACAGTAGGCAGGACATTAAGAGGCATACGATGGACTCCATTCACCATGCTTGATGACCTTGATTTTGCAGATGATATAGCACTCCTATCACATAAACTTGAACATATACAAGAGAAAAGTAACAGGCTAAACTGCACAGCAGAAATGGTGGGACTGAGAATAATTACAAAGAAAACTAAGATCATGACAAACAGTCCAAACCAACAACCAGTGACCATAAATAACCAATCACTTAAAAATGTAGAACATTTCACATATCTTGGCAGTGTGGTGTCCCTACTGGGAGGGACAGAGGAAGACATACAGTCACGTCTGAACAAAGCTACAGCTGCTTTTGGAAGGATGAGGCAAATCTGGAAATCCAACAATTACTGCAGAGGAACGAAACTCCGATTCTACAAGAGCATCATTTTGCCAGTTCTTCTTTATGGAGCGGAATGCTGGAGAATGACCAAAAAGGATGCACACAAGCTGTCCACCTTCCACCACACATGTCTACGTAGAATTATCAAAATTTTCTGGCCAGATACAATCTCAAACACTAAACTACTTCAAGCCACAAACCAAGAAACTTTAGACAGTATGATTACCAAGAGAAGATGGAAATGGCTTGGCCACGTAATGAGAATGACTTCTGATATACCTGCCAAAACAGCTCTCACATGGACACCAGAGGGAAAGAGAAAACAGGGGCGCCCAAAAACAACATGGAGACGAATGATGAAAAGTGACCTGAGTGCGGCATCTTTGACATGGAAAACTGCACTGAAGATTGCACAGGACAGGAAAGCATGGAAAGTCCTCTCTGAAGCCTCATGTGCCACTAGGCATAACGAGAACTGATGATGATGAAGGCCCTTATTACTATGTATATCTCTAACACACGAACCCTGCCCGCAACCCCAGTTCTAGACTTTATTTCCAAACTTCACAAATAATCTCTGCAGCTTTCCCATAACCTCACAGACCTGCTGACCTTCTACTTCTGTATAAGAATAGTTGATTATATCATTATAGAAGACCTTTCCACTTCAACTTCACTGAATTTTCTTTATCTTGTTAATTGTTGTTTTTTTAGCTTAAACATTATAAATTTAATTTCTTTAACACACCCACCATCTGTTATTATCAAAGTACCCATGTTTTTTAAACACAATGACTTGCTTCAGACTAGTTCCAATTAGTCTGATGTTGTATTCTTTTCTTTGTAATTACCACACTTCTGTTTTTCTGCTATTCAGACTGAAATATTAAATTTCTGTTGCATTTATATTCCTAATTTATTATATTTCCCTGTATATCAATATACAATGTACGGGTTATCTTCCTTGCTGCCTGGATCAGATTAACCATTTTGCACACAAAGCACAGAGCTTAGGGCATCACAAAGGGGGGTGGGCCTGTGGTTGGAGCATCACAGACATTTTCAACAGCCTTGTAGATAAGCATGTCTGTTCTCAGTTGTATATTTAGAAGAAAAAAATGAGAATAACATAGGCTGATCTCATGTAACTATTATAAAAAATCTGTGTTAAAAAAGATTAGTTTAGAGGATCTGATCAAAGACTTTGCATTAGGAAAAGTAGGCGGAACTGTTCAAATATAAATAAAGCGGCAGTATACAAATATAAAAAAAAAATTGACATTATTTAACTGTAAGTTTTATTTAATTATGATAAATAAAACTTTAGTCATGGTTTCTGTTTGTTTATATTTTGAATAACATAAATATGGGGGCAACCAGTGCCGTCTCAACACACTGCACCCTTGGGAATTTGCCCAGGGGCATCAACAAGAGTATAGGGGGCCCATGCTGACAAATCTGTGTATGTCAAGTGATCATTTACATGTTATTCATGTGAGTGGTTCTTGTAGATCCCCAGCACACTGGTTTGTCCAGGGGCCCATAATGCTGTTTAAGATGGCCTGGGAGGGGGGGGGGGGGGGGGCTCAAAAATCTATTAAGGGCTTAGTGCATTAGAGGGTCTAAATGCAAGCCTGCTGGCAGCCACGCATATATCTTATTTACAAACTATGAACACAACATGTTTGTTTGTATACTGGTGTACCACAAAGTAAACAACTAGCATGTCTTGCTAAATAATGAGATGAGATAATGTGCTCAACAATGTGACTTGCTTATTGAAAAGATTTAAGGCATTACACAGGAAAGGCAGACTGTGAGTGTGGGGGCGGGGTGCTTAGAATTAAATGTGCTGAGGGAGTGGCACAGAATGAGAAAGCATTTAGTAGTTGACTCTTCAGTGTTTGATTTTATGGGATTATTTTCATTCACCTTATCTTTTGAGGTCACTGCATACTAAATTCCAAGGGTCTGTTTTTTATTTGCCCATACTCCATGAAGTTCAGATTTCCCAATACTGAATTACAATTTGAATTAGAATAGTCAACTTTCAAAAGTCAAAAGTGACTTTAAAATCAAGGCTGGGATTCATATGATTCATAATTTTTTTATACACTCAAAGGCTAATAATTCATAATTCTTGGCTGGTAATTTAGTGATTGTGCTGTCAAAGTGTTCCTCATACATTTTTCAAACTGATGTCACCTCGCCTACAAACCATCTTTCAGTTCGGTGCGGCAGCCACATTGTTCCGACAGATTACATTGTGCATACCGTAACAATTACGGGAATATACAGAGCAATGGGGTTGAACATTACACAATGCACTTTACACCTGTTTTCTTTATGAAACAGAATTCATGGTGAAACGTTAAGCTACTAGTGCACGATAACAAATTAACGCTGGTGAGGCTAGCCTGCTGTTTCCATCAAATAATATTGAGCAACAGGCAAAGACGATAAGCATCTGAATAGGGAGAACGATATCGAGACCATCCATTGATCTGTCATTTAACCTATTTAACACCAACATTTTACATATCGTTAATAATGGCATTCTGGCTGTACTCTCTGTTTTTCAACTACAACAATAGCTTAACTGTGGACATTTCCAAACTAACGGCACAAAAGATGCCTGTGCCTAGCTAGACAGAATGATGCTACTCAAATGCAATGTTAACGTAAAACCGAAACAAAAAGTTACACCGAGTTACTGAGTTACGCAAATGATGATAAGGATTCTAGGTTGCAAGCAATCAGCAAACTTACTTTTGACAATTCTCTCCGTCGTTGACAATTTATTGTCTGTCGTGGCCATCTTTAGGCTCACGAGATAACAATTTTCGTATCAGTGCCAGAGGTGGCACCAAAAATAGTCAAATTTTGCCCGATAGTCTATCAATAGAAGCCTTCGAAAATGGCGTTCACAACATAATATTTGAATACAGGGACTTCTGCGCACTGTTTTGCGCAAACGGGCCATCGCTCACTCTGCCGCAGGAAAAAGATTCCCGTATCGCTTTGTAAGCCAGCGCCGTGGTAAAATAGCCGTGTCTGCGTTATAATCTATGATGCAAGGGTACCGTCTTGCAGCGATTTTCTTGTCATATTCTATTATTTGATATGATAACACTTATTATATATATTGAAAATATCAGATCGTTGTCTAAGATATGTCAGTGAATGCAAGTTGTCGAGGTGCCCCGTCCCCCACCCCACTGAGGTATTGTAATATTACAGCTACATCTAGGTTGCGAAAGCGAACCTCTCTGCACAAGTGAAAAAGTCGATATTATTATTTGCTCCTTGCATGGAGATGACGTACACTCCTAACTGAAATAATGGCTTCTATTGTTTCATGGTCAAATCGGTCTGTTCTTCGCCGTGTGCATTTACTCACTTCGTGTACACTACTAGATAGTGATGGTTACCACTGTACTGGTGTATGCAGTGTTTGATCAGGTGGGCACGCGCAACTAGGGCACAATATTGTGGGCTTGAGTAACCAGTTGTCTTTCTCTTTGCTTTTCCTTTCAAGAAGAAAATCGGTGATATGCAGTGCTGTTTGCATTCGGGATAAATCTGTCATCGACTGAACAGAACACACGCCGTTCGCATTTATTAATCTTGATAAGTCGAGGTTCCAACTTCATTGCAGACATGTGGCTTCATAACTGTTCCGTTCCCATGCCAGTAGAAATCACGCACGCACAATGTCCTTGACTGTCACATTTGAAAAACCGATGATAAACATATCAGTCCCAGCAAAATCGTTAAGCTCGCACACGCAACGTAAATGCATGAGGTATCTGTCAGGTGTACTACTACTAACAGTCCAACACCAGAATTGTTGCTCACTGTTGATACAATCAGTCAGTTACGAAAAGCAGCATTGCACCCGCAATACTGTATAAGTACATGCACACGCTTTTCCAAGCTACCTTTGACGCAGTTCACAACACAAAGTCATCATGGGTACAATAGAACAAATCTTACAGATTATCCCCAACTCACCGTGTCACACCAAACACTCACCTCAGAAGTCTATTAATTAGACGAGCTATCCGCTGAACGCGCGCCCCTGTCTCGTTCATCACCCTGGAATTGAACAGTTACATAGGATCTGCGATGAGTATACAGCCCTACTAGTTAAACATTATTAATTATTCAGGAGCAGCTTAGTTGGAGCAAAAACTAGATCAGGAGCAGACTGCTTTAGTGACCATGTTCCAGTTGTAGGAAAAATTAGAATAAAACTAAAGAGCATTAGAAAAACATCACAGAACATCAATATAAATTTAGGAATTCTTAGAACGGATAAAGAAATTAAGGACCAGTACAATGTCACTGTACAAAACCGGTATAACGCAATGGAAATTATACAGACTATTGATGAACAGTGGGATATGTTGCGTGAGTCAATTCAGCAGACATCTAAAGAGACAATCCCACCAAACGATAGAGTTGCAAAAAAAGAAATGGGTGTCAACCGAAATTCTGCAGTTGATGGATGAAAGAAGGAAGAAAAAGAATGATAAAGAAGAATACTCTAGAATATAAAAAGAAATAGTGAACACATGCAAAGTGGCTAAAGGAGCCTGGCTGAATCAAATGTGTACGGAGATTGGGGAAAACAACAGGAAAGACCCACATTCCATGTACCAACAGATAAATATGTTAACAGGAAAGATGACACGTAACAGCACTGGATGTTTGAAATCAAAAGATGGTGACTTATTAATGGGACATAGTAATATAATTAACTTAAGGACAGAGTATATAGGGGAATTGTATGATGATAATAGACCAGATGTAGAACTGCAGACCAACAATGATGGTCCACCAATAATGACTGCAGAAGTTGAGGATGCAATACATCATATCATGTAAGTAATGTAAACATAAAGATCAATGACATACAATTAGAACAAGTTCAAGAATTCAAGTACTTAGGATGCATATTTACAGAAGATGGAAGACTCGATAAAGAGATACAGGCTAGAGTTCAAAAAGCCAATGCAGTCATCTACCAACTGGCCCCACTTCTTCGTCATCCAAAGATCTCGTTACCAGCCAAACAAAGGATGATCAACATCAATTTCATACCTACGTTACGTTATCAGTGCCAAACGTGGACAATGAACAAATCACATATGCAAAAAATAACTACGTGTGAAATACGATGTCTCCGAAGAGTCACCAACAATACACGAAGAGACAGAGTCACAAACGTCAGCATTAGAGACAAAGTTGGAACAAGAGCATGCATGAAACATATTGAAAGACAGAGAATGAAGTGGTTTGGCCATTTAGTAAAAATGCAGCCGGATCAGATTGCCTATAAGGCCTTTTTCAGTAGAACATCGGGAAGAAAAGCAATAGGAAGACCCAGGAAAAAATTGATAGATGGAGTAGCTGAATACGGCCATAAGATCCAGAAAACTGTCACTCAAATCACGCGAGAGGCACAAAACAAATATTTTAAACCACGACACTGGGCTGCAACCCGGTAAAAGTGAAGAAGACAATAGATAGATACATCATATGAAGAAAGGAAAAGCACCCGGGCCAGACAACATCTCACTGGAAGAAATCGAAGCACTGGGAGATTTTTGAATTGAAATAATAACTAAACTTTTAAATGATATTTATAATAGTGGGTATATTCCAAATGACCTTTTAAAATCCATATTTAAAGCTCTGCCTAAGAAATCAGACACTATAAAATGTGAAGTCCATAGCACAATAAGTCTAATGAGTCACATGACTAAGATTTTACTGAGAATAATTATGAGAAGAATAAGAAACAAAATTACACCAGAAATCAGCGATGAACAATGTGGATTTGTAGAAGGAAAAGGTACAAACAATGCCATATACATCTTAAGGACATTGTCAGAAAGAGCTATAGAAGTAAAGACTGATTTGTACATATGCTTCATAGACTATACAAAAGCATTTGACTGTGTGAAGCATGAAGAAGTAATCAAACTGTTAGAAAAATTAAACATTGATAGGAAAGATCTACGAATAATAAATAATATGTATTGGCAGCAAACAGTAGCTATAAGAATTAACAATTGTTTAGGTACATTTCAAAGCATAAAGAGGGGCGTAGGACAAGGATGGGTACTGTCACCTGATTTGTTTTTAATATACAGTGAATATATAATGAGAGCTTTAATTGCTATGCCAGGAATTGTGGTTGGTGGGCATAATATAAACAATTTACATTATGCTGATGACACAGTCTTGATAGCAACAAGTCAGCAAGAACTACAGGAAATGGTAGACATTGTGGTGTTAGAAAGTGGAAGAATGGGCCTCACTTTGAATAATGGGAATAAAGAAGTAATTGTGGTATCAAAGAAGCGAATTATTCCTAAGTGTGTAATAAAAGTTGATGGTGTCATTTTAGGACAAGTACAGAAATTCAAGTATCTGAGCACATGGATAACATCAGATGAAAGATGCATAACTGAGATAAGAAACATAATAGGACAGGCAAAAACTGCATTTTATAAAATGAAAAACATCTTGTGCAATATATCCTTGTCATTGAGAGTTAGAAAAAGAATTCTTGCTTGCTACATACATCCAGTTTTAACATATGGCTGTGAATCCTGGACAATCGGTAGTCAGGCCAAACAATTGCTGGAGGCCTCAGAGATGTGGTTTTACAGAAGAATGCTTAGAATACCTTGGACAGCCAAAAAGAGCAACCAAGAGGTTTTAAAAGAGGCGGGAGCCCGAAGACAACTTATCACAGAAATCATTTTCGGCCATTCTTCGAGAAGAGGGAAAATGAAACATGTTGCGACCACTGGAAAGATCTGTGAAAGGAGGGATAGAGGAAGACAACGAGAGAAGATTCTTGTTGCATGGCATGGAGGTGTATTAGCACACGAACTGATGCATAATGCAGGAGATCGCAGATTGTGTTAGGCATGGTCGCCGGCGCCTGTCGGCAAGGCAGCTGATGATGATGAATGACGATGAAGAAAAAGAAGAAGAAGAAGAAGAAGAAGAAGAAGAAGAAGAAGAAGAAGAAGAAGAAGAAGAAGAAGAAGAAGAAGAAGAAGAAGAAGAAGAAGAAGAAGAAGAAGAAGAAGAAGAAGAAGAAGAAGAAGAAGAAGAAGAAGAAGAAGAAAAAGAAGCAGAAGAAGAAAACATAGTTTCGCATACATCATTACATCCAGTGTGAGAATGAAGGCGGATTCAGTAACGGCGGCTTTCCGATGACTTTGGAGCAGCACAGTCTGACAGGTTGTAATCGCAACGGACTTACAGAGCATGCTTCGGAAAATGTAAACTGGCTTGCATCACTTGATAAGACTCACTCAGATCAAAAGCATATCGTGGATTTTCTGTCCGGGAGATTCATGTGTGCGAGGTAAGGAGCAGACTGATATAATAGCTGCTGCTGTTTCTCTGAACGATGAGCTAGCTACCTTATGAAAAAGAGGATTAGGTGGAGACTGTTTGGAATCAAGTGGACACTGCAATAGAAACCACTCTTTAAAAAAAAAAAATGTCCTCAGGGTACCTGTACTCCCAGGTTCCGTGGCATATCTTCCAAGTACATTAATATATTCCGAGTATAGTAATTAATTCTGGCCGTCAAAAATTACACCGAAGAAGTGAACCTTTTCCTGAAAAAAAATTACGTTTTCAGTAAATAAGCACCCCACCCACATATCACAATCGAAAACGAAGAAATAGAAAATATAACATATTTCGAATACTTGGGCTCTTTAGTGAACAACAGTGGCAACTGCTCAAAAGAAGTCAGAAGAAGACTTGCATTAGCAATGCAGA